ACTTCTTCATCTGGTGTCCGTTATCGTCAGACTTTGTACCGTTGCGCTACTATTGTAGAGATCTTTGATTCTCATTTAGGTTGTTTCGGCCAAAAATTCCTCAATCTCTATTTCGAGTTTTTAGCTGTCTACCGCTATCCCGAAACTTAGAAAAATCATAACTTCCTCATACGAAGTCGGATTTGACGTTCTTTTTATGCACATTCACGGTTTAGTATACTCTACGACTTTTGTTTAGATACCTAAGGCTAAAAAGTATTTTATTGAAATTTCTCCTTTTACGTTTGTTAGTGTTTTACTGGTTTTGACACGAATTTTCGATTAGTCATAATTTCTTCGTTATAACTCAGATTTTAGTGTTCTTTATATTTCTGAAAACCTTGACACGATAACTATCATTTTAGGCAACCCAATAGAGGCTTTTGAACATTTTATTTTTGACGCTAATTTTATTATATCAAAAGAGATTACAATTCTTGACTTTTTAAGTCATTACATTGATTCGAAATATCGGGTTGTCACATACCTGGAGGTCTTTCTCACTATTTATAGGGTGTTGAATCATGATTTAAGCTGGGCGTAAATCCTTATGTATGCGGGGCGTACTGCCCTGATAATCTCTTCGTTGGGCATATACTGCATTACGTGGGGCGTAATGCATTGCGGCTCAGTATGATGGGCGTACACCGAGTATGTTGCGCGTAGCGTGATGCTTGGCATCAGACATGTCGAACCTGCGTGACATGTGTTGTATGCGAAGAAGGTGTTGACGTGGCCGGCTCCGGATCACAAACATGAGTACGCTGGGCGTACTTATGTATCCGGGGCATACACTGATTTTCTAAACTTCTAAAATCCATATATTTTGCATATGAGCTCCGTTTTTGACATTCTTTATACCCACGCGTAGGTGAGATGATACTCTACGACTTTTATTTAGACTCCGTCGGCTAATTTTGACTTCATTTTTAAAGTTATATTTTTAACAGGCAGGGACATGAAAAGTCCGTTAAAAATTTATAACTTCTTCATCCGACGTCCGTTTTCGTCTGTCTTTTTACTATTGTACTACTATTAACGAGACCTTCGATTCTCTTTTAGGTTATGTGGGCTAAAAATCACTCGATCTTTATTTCGAGTTTTTAGTCGTATACTGTTATACCTAAATTTAGAAAAATCATAACTTCCTCATACGAAGTCAGATTTTGACGTTCTTTTTATGAAAGTTATCGGTTTAACAAATACTACAACTTTCATTTAGATCATACAGACTAAAAAGTAGTTTATCGAAAGCTCACTTTTTACGTCATACGGCGTCGTGTCGATTCTATCGCGAAACTTCGATTGGTTATAATTTCTTCGTTATAACTCAGATTTCAATGAGGTTTTCGCCTAAATGTTTCTAACGAGATTCTTTACAAATTTCAATAATATAATTTTAGTTATTCCAACTTAATTTTACATTTTCATAAATTTCAATAGCTGACATTTGATCAGAATCTCATAAGACTTCAAATACTTTCCGAATGATTCTGAACATAATTTTTACTTCAATTCTTGTAAAAACTATCTGTTAGAACTCAACGTTCAAAATCACATAATATTTCATAATATTATTCTTTTTTACAACATGTCGGAGATGAACACGATAACTGAATGTGTATGTTACAATTCAGATCCATGTTTTGAAAACCGAAATCAATTTGGATTCACTTGATTGAATCAGATCAAAGCGATCCATCCAAACAAACACTCCTACTGCCGAATAAGACATTTTATGCCTATTGCTAAGAATAGAGGTTGGTGTGCCCACAACACGTCAGAGATGACTCTTCTCAATCTAATTAAAAGATCAAGAATAGTAGAAAGTAGAAACTTCAGGTGAATGATGGCCTAAATGTGTCATTAACTTAAAAACATTTTGGTAGTGGTAAGCAAAATCAAAAAAAATTTAAAAATAAATAAATAAATAAATAAAAACCGGAACAAACCAAAACTGAAACCAATACAACGTCATTTCGATTTAACTATAACTTTATTTTTTGTTCTTTATTTGCCATTATATTTTAGAAAACGTTTCATTTTCAGGCCTTTGACCGGTCATCAAGTGGTATGATTACGTGTCATTTTTGCATGTTTCTAATCTTGCATTTAGACCCAACATTTATGTATAAGTTTGCGTTTAGCCCCTATATATTTTTTTTTCACCATTTGCCATTGTTTTTTAGAAAAAATTTTCATTTTAGCCATTGGCCAGTCACGAATAGGTATTTTAAAACATAATAACTTAAAATGAAAAAGGAAAAACTAAGATAAGAGTCGAAACTGCGACTTTTCCTTGAGGGCGAGGTGTGTTACCTAGTAAGCCAATGGCTTTCATTTTTGTATTGTCAATGTTTGTTGTATTTATTCTACACCTGTATTTCAAAATGAAGAAAAAATGTCTAGGGTAAGTCTTGAGTTTGTGACATCTAATAAACAATATGTGTAACGCTCTAAATTTTCAAACAAAATTTTCATTTTTAAACCACATAAAACTCAATATCAGATTTTCTCAAAAACCACAATGTATCAGTTGTTAATACACAATCAACAAAATAGGACCCCCCGGTCGATAACTCAAAGCTCAGGTTGGACCCTCTAGTCTTGTATCTTAGTGAAACCCTCCGGTCTCACAGCTTGGGTTAGACAATCCGATCTTGTATATCGGTGAAGACCCTCCGGTCTCATAACTCAGTTTGGACCCTTCGGTCCTACTCAGTAAGGCGCAGAATAATATAGCATATATCACAGACAAAATGCATAATATCACATAACTCAATATAAGCACATAGGACCCTCCGGCCGATAACTCAAATAAGACCTTCCGGTTGTACAGTATTACCACTCAGGTAAGTATAATGAGAAAACGCACCTCGCCTAGTAAGGCAATATATACCACGCTCGAACTGTTGGTCTAGAATACGCCTCTCCATGGTCTCTAAAATCCACAGCTTGACCAAAACCCTAAAGTCAACAGTCAAAGTCGACCCTACTCTTCGAGTGCAACTCATCTACTCATTGAGTTCCTCAGTACTCAATAAACCACGAAAACCCCAATCAACTTGCTGAGTTGCTAACAAACTCGTCGAGTCCATGCAGAGTCCAGAAGAACGGGAAAACCCGACTCGACGCGTTGAGTTGGATGCCCAACTCGCCGAGTTCTTCATGCATTACACTTTTCACTCATTCTAGTGGATTCCAACGCTCCAAACTCTAGATCCAACCTCCTAGGAGGAAGTTACCACGTAAAGTTGCTAACTTTACGATCATGCAAGGCCTTACAAGGTCAAAACACCCAATATTAAGCTCAAGAAGGGTTTAGGACATGAAGATGGGTCAAAGCTTCATAAAGCTTGAGATTTTATGTACATGAAGGCTTAGAGGAGACCAAATTCGCAACTACTCCCCCTGGATAAGCTCAACTCGACAATGGCCCTTATTTTGCACCAAAATACCCATAAACTCACACAAGAAGAGATCTAAGAAATGGCAAGCCAAGGTAAAGACTTTTTACCTCCAAAAAGATGCTACAACTATATGAATGCTGGATCTAAAGACTCCTTCTTGTTCCAAGCTCTTTACTCTTCAAGCTTCCTCCAAGAATGCACACTTTTGGCTTCACACTCAAAATATGGGCTAACTCACTAGGGTTTCTCTCTAGACGTGATATGGTGATGAGGGAGGCGGGGTAATGGAGTTAAAGTCCTTTAAATAGGGTGTAAACCCGAATAATTAGGGTTTTCTCTAAACAACCTCAACTCGTCGAGTCTAGCTCTCCAACTCGACGAGTAGGCTTCATAACTCGCGCATCCAGATAAACTCCTACACGACGATTTGGGCCAACTAACTCATCGAGTAGGCCCTTCAGCTTGCACAAAATCCTCAAGTCCCACATCCAGGAATCAAGGTGTTACAATATGACATGCTAATCTTTGAGCCAACCAAAAATTTTAATTCATTCGTAACTCATCTAAAAATCAACTGATTATTTCTAATGCATATTTATTAAGAAACCAAATATTTTTAATGACATATTTGTTGAGAAACCAAAGAAATGAAAATATTGATTGGCTCAAAGATTAGCATGTCACACCGTTTATTAGATGTCTCGGACTCGAGACTTACACTAGGAGAAGTCATAGTTTCGACTCTTGCCTCTGTTCTTTCTTCTTTTTCATTTTAAGTTATTACGTTTTTAAATAACTATTAATGACTGACCAATGGCTAAAATGAAATTTTTTCTAAAAAACTATGGTAAATGAGGAACAAAAAAAATGTTAGGGCTAAATACAAACTTATACGTAAATGTTGGGGCTAATGCAAACTCAGGAAAATACAAAACTGACACGTCATCATTACCTGTTGGTGACCGGTTAAGGGCCCGAAAATGAAACATTTTCTAAAATATAATGGCAAATGAAAAACAAAAAATAAAGTTGGGGTTAAATCGAAACAATGATATATAAATAATGACTTTTAAGGTATTAAACAAGGAAGAGGCCGCGAAAATATGTTGACTAGGTATATATGAAAAGCGAAGATGCCACGAAAATATGTTGACTAGGTATATATGAAAAGCCTCTTTTAATCTATATGAACAAAGTAAATATCGTTGTGCTTAAAGTTGACAACACGAAATGGGAACAAGAAGTCGAGGAATTTGGTGTTGAGGGTATCCCACATTTTGCATTTATGGATAAAAATGGTAATGAAGAAGGGAATGTAGTGGGCAAGCTGCCCAAAAAATACTTCATAGAAAACATTAATGCACTTGCTACTTCAAGACCATCAATCCCACTTGCCTGAGTTGTCAGTGAGTTTGCAAATGGTGGAACTAAAAAAGTCCACAATGTATCCGACCCGAGAAGTCACGGTTAAATAATTCAAAATATATGTAACAATATAATAATAATTAATTCTTTTATAAAATTACAAAAAAAAAAAAAAAAAAAAAAAAAAAAAAAAAAAATCAAAGATTTCTTTTCTTTCTTAAATGATTCATTTTACAAGTCACCTAACAATATTTCCTAACAAGCTATTGCTTGAAGGTGAACTCTGATCACTTAACCATGGATCCTGTATAGACATGGGTGAATTATCTTTATCTTTACTCGTATCTTTATTGTCTGGTATTGTTAAACAATCTGATATAACACTAAGCCTCCGGCTACCAATTGCCGCCACTCCTGCCACCTTTTTTATGATACTTCCGCCTATTGATTTCTCACTGGCGTTATACGGCGATGAAGAAACCGATGATAATGATCCAATTGTCATATTATCATCAATCGTGTTCCACCCACTAACTTTAATCTCTTCCAACTCATCTGCCACTTCCATCATCGAAGGCCTCATATCTCTATGAAATGCTAAACATCGGAAAGCCAATTCCGCCACTTTGTGAATTGACGAAAGTGTCCATGCGTCTTTATTCGGGTCCAAAAAGGGGTCAATTATATCATCCACACAACCTTTCCCAATTCTATCTATAGCAAGAGACGCTAAATTTATCTCACTATGATCCCGAGAAAAATCAACCACTTTTAAAGCGGTGATTATTTCTAAGAGAACAACTCCAAAGCTATACACGTCACTTTTATCTGAAAGATGGAAGTTTTGATGGTACTGCGGATCGACGTACCCTGGTGTACCTTGTGGAGCGGTTGAGATGTGGGAATCATCCAACATTCCTAATCTGGAAAGTCCGAAATCCGCGACTTTAGAGTTGTAATTATGATCCAAAAGTATGTTGCTAGATTTGATATCTCTATGGTAGATAGGCGGATTCATAGTCGAATGTAGGTGAGCAATCGCGTGTGCAGTTTCAGTTACGATCGTGAGTCTAACCGTCCATGGGAGACCTTTCCCGCGTTCCCTTTGTAGATGTTGTGAAAGCGTTCCGTTTGGCATGAATTCATATACAAGAATCTGCTCGCCTTTTTCGATGCAACATCCCAAAAGGCGGACTAGGTTAGGGTGGTTTACAGTGGAGATTAGTTTGATTTCATTCATGATTTGGTCGTTTCCGTCTGTGTCTCGTTGTCGGAGTTTCTTCACCGCCACCCATTCGTTGGTGGTTAATTTTCCGGCGTACACCGTACCGTATGCTCCGACACCTAATCGTTGTTTATCGGAGAAAGAGTTTGTGGCGCGTTCGATTTCTTTGTAGGGGTAGAATGGGACACTGAAGCTAGCGGTGGCTTCAGAGAACTGTCGTCTTGCGCTCCGTAGGTTTCTAGAAGCGGCCCGTTTTCTAAGGCAGTAGCAAACGAGCGCGAACGTTGACATAAGAGAAGCTCCGGCGACTATACCTGAGAGTAAGAAATATACACCAAGTGTTTGGTAAAACATCTCACTAATGAAAGCGATAAAATATGTGACCGACTAAAGGGATCACACAAAATGTTTGATAAAATGTTTAACTTGTTAGGGTTTGGTGTTTTATGGTGTAATATTGGAGAAAGAAACAATTTATATTTATATCGATAAATAAAATGTAGGGTATCTATAGTTGCGAATTTTACCTCCAATAAGCACACCAACTCTTGATGTTTCACCGCATTGGCCAGACATGTACCTTGACGCGCCACAATTCGAGACTGTTGCAAGTTGATGTCGACAAATTAAATAAAATAAACTTAAATTTTCATGAGACCCCGAAAAATTATAAAAGGTAATGAAATTTAAATTTTTATAAATCCTAGCAAAAACGAATTTAAAGAAGTTAGTATCCAACTCTTTTAATTTTTGTTCGTTTTAAATGTTCAGTTATTACTTTGATTATGATTATGATTTTGAATTTTGAATTTTCTCAACAAAACAATGATATATCTCTTGAATAATAATAAAAATCAAATGTTAATTCCCCCATTATAAAAAGTCAACCAAAACCATCATAAGAAACAACCTACAACCCACCATCAATCAAAGATTTGTTAAATCAAGGCTACCAAATTACATGGTGGAATCGCATCATTCATGAAGATTAGATTAGATATTCGACTTGTTAAAGTCCAAATATTCATCTCACAAAGAAATAGTCAAAAGTCAAATGCCATTAAATCATCAATCTTTTTTTGCTAATTTGTGTATTAACATTCTAATATATAAATTGATTATAAAATGGAAAGATATTTATGCTACCAACTAAACTAATTTGTTCACATGAAAGAGTTGAGAATTGAGTCCCTTCCGTTTCAATTTTTTTAAATTTCCTACTCATTCCAAAATGACGACTCATACCCTTTGACCAAACCACAAGTAAATCAATATTGGTGGCCCTTCAAAGAAATTCCATGTATAAGAAAAGTAATAAATTAATAATACTAATTAATTAAGGGATTAGTTGATTTTTCTTTTTTGTCATAGTTTCTGACTTTTGTACATTATTTTATCCGAATATAATAGTGTCATACTTCTTTTCTTCTGAATTAATCCATAAATTATGCGTCATATGCACATAATTAAAGTTTATTCTTAGTTTTTCAATTTTCTAATCTACAAGAATAAAAAAAGAGAAAAAGGTATGAAATCAATGTTTGTACTTTGGTTTAGAATATTTAATGAAAAGTGATTATGATTAAATGATTTACTTATTAAAATACACAGTAAACTTTAGAAAAAAAAAAGATTTACATTTTAATAAAAATTCCATCTATAATTTTCTTTTTAAATCATGATTTACCAATTAAAATTGGTTAGAAATAATTACAAGGACGCAATTTATTAAAATGATTAATTGAAGATACCTAAAAAGAAAATGTTATATATATATATATATATATATATATATATATATATATATATATATATATATATATATATATATATATATATATATATATATATATATTTTGCCATTATATAAGCATTTGTAAAATTTTACTGAATTTTGGTAGGAAAATAATTATTTATACATAAAAAAATCTTCGTGACAAATTGTTTTGGTAATTTTTCACGTAAAAAGGATTTAAAACATGATTTTTTTTTTTTTTTTTTTAAATTGTCGTAAAAGAAATGATAATAGTAAAAAGTGGTGGTGGTTGGAAAGGGAACTAACCTCTATGGCAACCATCGCCGGCGATGAACCCATCACCGTCGTATCCTTCATTACAGTGACACCGGTAACCCACCGTCTGATTCAAACGAGACACATTCCGGCAAACCGCGTTTTTATGACAACCGCAGTCGCCGTGAACCCACCAACCCAATTCCAACGACTGAAACTCCAACGACACCGGCGATCCCTGTGAGCTGTTCGCGTTCAAATCAATCGTCACCGACGACAACAAAACCTCACAACCGGCGGATTTCAGTTCTGTCAAATCAATGAACTCTTCTCGAGAATTATCCTCAGAGTAACAATTCATGCTCCGATTTATCGCCGAATCACACTGTTGTATGCTGAAACGATTCTCAACTAAATTAGTCGACACTATACAATCATTCAAACTCGCCCTGCAGTCTTCCAACAGCAATGCGTTTCGTGAAGTGAGAGCGAAGTTTGAGTTATCGAAGCGATTAATTTCTTCAAACGAACGACTGCAATTCGCCGGTAGAATAATCGATATATGATCTCTGGTAAAATTCTGAACGGTGTATCCACCAAAACGAATCTCTCCATCGGAACAATCCAGACGAATTTCACAACCATCGCTAAATCCGAAGGGGTAGGAAACTGTATTTCGCCGATCACCGCTTTGACTACTACAAACCCGATTACAGTTTGCTTGAGCAGATGTTGACGATGGTGTTGATATTATTAGAATCACGGAAAAGAAGAGGAGATGAGAAATCATGTTTGAATACTTTCGGAATTGAATTGTGGCAGAAATTTTATCGGGGAACGTTGAAATTGAGAGAGAGAAAATGTTTGACTTTGATAGGTCATTAAAGCGGTTTAGTTGATGTTGTTGAGAAACTTCATGCTTTCCTTCATAAATGCCGAGAAAAACAGAGAGATATGATGATTTCTGGTGAGAACGTTAATTGATGCAGCTCCGAGATATGAAAACCCGGAGAGAGAGAGAGAGAGAGAGAGAGAGAGAGAGAGAGAGAGAGAGAGAGAGAGAGAGAGAGAGGTGATTTGACTTCTGATAAGATACAAATTGAATTCAAGGATTAAAAAGGGGAAGCCATTAAAGAGCTCTAACTGTTCTTCCTACTGGCTGATGGAAAACCAGACGATAAGATCATACGGCGGAGAGAGGGAGATTCCGGGACACTTTCCGGCGAAGTTTTACTTATGGGAAGAATGGAATGAGGGGGAGAAATCTAATAAATGACATGTGATGAAGTCGGGTTAGCGCCTTTTGTGAAATTACAGTTGTACTTTTTGAGATTGGTATTATATATTTCCTTTTTGAGTTAGATTTAGGGTTAATGTGATTTAAGGTAATCAACTATTTAGATGTTCATTTTTAGTCCTTTATAAAAAACAATTAAAATTAAAGTCCTCCGATTTAGATTATCGTTTCCAATCTTGTTAACATTTTAATCGATTGGATTTGAATTTGTAATTGAATTTTAGTTTTAGTATACGATCACTAGAATACATGATACAAGATATCAGAATATCAAAGTTAAACAATAAACAAACTTCTTCTTTACCATTTATGGCTTAATACTAACCGGTATTTGTAAAATCTCATTGTAAATACAATATTTTTTGTTTGCTAGTGGTGGACGAAAACTAAATTGACATTAGAGTTGTTGGTGAATATCGTCCATCATCGATTTGCTTTAAAGAGAGGAAAAGAAATAGACTTATTGCCATTTAAACCCAATATTTATGTGAATTGTCATTGCTTTAGAACAAAGAGAGGTGTTATATTTGTTATAACGAATTAACTTTTAAAATGACACATAAATAGTCTTTCACCGTAGGGAATATATAAATTGGATATGAGATGTGTTCATAGACATTTAAAATGGATTAACCGCTTAAAATGGTTAAATGTATGGTAAAGAGTTACAAAATATGACATTGGAACATATTAACACATACTATATCCAATGATATATTCTCTAAAAATAGCATTGATTTTGCTCGATGCAATATACACAGATAAAAATGATTTCGTGCAATAAGATGAGTGATCGAATTGTGAATGATCGTCTAATGTTATATACTATGAAAAGATGTGTTATGCACTTTTATCAACCATACACTTATAGATTGTTTTAAATAGTGTGGAGTCTAGATAGTTCTTGATATCTCTGTTATCTATTCCTAATGATGGTACATAGACCCGGTTAGAATGACTTTTCACCGTTAAAGATAAACATTTTTTAGATTGCTTTTAGATTTGATCTCTTAATAGAGATAACTTGAACAAAAGGGGTATTGAGTTGAATTAAATATGTGCCATTTATGTCTCACTCATATAGAAGATACACAACATATTCTCTTAGGTTGTCAACTTGTCATGTTAAGTTTGGAATATGGTCGGTGGGTTGATTTGCTATTGTCGAGTTTCCATCACATCATAGTGGTTTTTAGTGGATAGATACTCGTAAATTGTAGGTATATAAAAAAGTTAGGATTGGATGTAAAAAAGTTAGGATTGGAAGTAGTTTGCATGACAAAGATATGGATGCTTTGGACGTATCGAAATACATTGATCTTTGGAGCTAAAGAGTTTCATGAAGAGATGATTTTTGATAAAGTTATGTTTTTTTGTTTAATTTACATGGTCACGGATTTCATAAAGTGGAAGTCAATAACATTAAGTTGTAGTTCCCTTTATTAGTTATTACTTTGTAAGTTCGTTGATATTTTTCTAGCTTCTTGCTAAGTTTTTTTTTATAAATTTTAGCCGTTAAAAAGGAAGACGGTTTTAAAAATATCAATAGTCGTTGTGAACACTTTTTAGAAATTTACTAAAGAAATTATGTTTGATCTTTGTTATTAAAACTACATTTGCCTTACATGTTATTATTTATAACCCGATCCAATAACCAAAAGTTTTCAATCATCATATTGGAAGTGTAGAATCACCTATCATAACTAGGAGACGCAAAATACCGTGATTGGAGATCCCGACCGTAAAAAAAATAATGGACTGAAACGCTGTGCGAGCGGTAATAACAGATTCCGAATAATTTGTTTTTGAATGTTTAAAAAGAATCTTTATCGACAAGTCTGAACCCACAAATCATGACCCTATTCATTTTTTTTAAATCAATTAAGTGTGACATACATGAGTTTGAATCATGAATCCATGATTGCCATACCTAATAACCGTTATAATTTTTTCAAGAATGACAAATGTTAATAATGTCAAGAGCTCAAGTCTCACTAGCAGACAAGAAACATTTCACTTCATATTGGGTTTGGTATAGACATTCTCATAGTCACTCCTTATACACCATTTACGTCTCATACAATCGTACATAGGGTGTGTTTGGCACGGAGCTTTTGGAAGCGTTTGGGAGTTTCTAGCTTTTAGCTTTTGACAAAACACTCTATTTTAAACAAAAAACTTTGTTTGGTAGTACGAGCGTTTACCTTTTAGTTTAAACAAGACGCTTCAAATCTAAAAGCTACTTCATGTCGCGTTTAACAAAACGCTACTGAGCTTTTGAAATCAATTTCCATAATTAGCCTTAAATATATATATATATATATATATATATATATATATATATATATATATATATATATATATATAATCAATTGTTTTTTAATGTAATTTTATATATTTCAAAAGGTTTCAGCTACTTTTACCAAACACTCATATAACAAATAAAAGTTATAGCTTCCCGCTACACGCTACCAGCTACTCGCTTCCAGCTAACAACTACTTTTCCAAACACGCTCATAGTGTGGATGATATGGGTAACTTGGGAGTTACTAAAAAAAACTTTCTATTTGAAAGGAAATTAATTTAGTCAGTATTATAAACATGTACTTTTAAAAATAAAATCATTTAACATTTTAACACATCTTATAACATTCTCATTGGCAAATTATTCATGGTCTAAGGTGTTTAGCTTGTTGTGAATAACAAAGAAAAGTTTTTCAGCCTAATGTAAAAGATATATTCAACCTTAAGCTTGTAAATTAACAAGATTCAAGTAACATAATATAATATCGAAAATTTAAATTATGACAGTTTTATAAAATAATACTAAAAATAATAATAATAATAATAATAATAATAATAATAATAATAAATAAATAAATAAATAAATAAATAAAACTCATTTAAGCCGTCAGTGTACAGTGTAGACCGGGGTAGAAGTGGAACAAAGGAAGAAGGAAATCCCCGTTGACCGCGACAAAGTGGGCCGCTAACGGTTCACACCACCGTGATGAACGGCATTTTGTTGAATATTTAGTCCAACATTTTCACTTAGCCACCCTTTACTTTCAAAAAAAGGTCAGTATGATCACTAAAATACATTTTGATTTTTGAGAAAGACAATATATTCCTTAAAACTGTGTTTGAGTTCTATTGTAAATTACAACACTCTATAAATGCTAAGAAAAAATATAAACAACAAAAAATTCTAATATTTTATAATTTATAGGTCAACCATTTTTATCATATAACATTTGACAGTGTTTTACGAAACAAGTTTTTATGTATGTTTAACCGTTGTAAATTTGATAACTCTATGTTGCTATTAAATCTTTTGATATTATTAAAAGAGAACATTTAATTCATCAATTAAACAATCAAGGTATTTGAATGTATTTCAATATTATGTTTTCTACTATTATGTCAAATTGATGATATCATCTTCACTAACCTTTTGTCAAACATCGTTTTTGTAACTTACATTCTTAACTTACGATCATAATCCTTGATATTTTGGGATTGAAATCAACAATCCTTTCCGTTTTCTAATAGTTTCAATCATTTCCATTTTTTAATCGAATGCTACAAGGAAAGAGTTTATTCCAAATCTATTTTTATATACTGCATTTATTCCTTACATAATTGTATTCAAAACTAATTTTTTATTTAATTTAAATCTTTCTAATATTCAATTCCTTAATCTCTTTATATATATATATATATATATATACACACACACACACACACACACACCTCTATCGTTATTTGACAAATTTCGTCTTCAACTACAACGATTGCTTCTTTAGAAGGGTTTTAACCATAAGCTTGGGCTTCTTTACTACTTTTCTTCATCAGTTCATTTAACCATAAGCTTGGACTTCTTTACTACTTTTCTTCATCAGTTCATCGTTTACGCCTCAATAAATAGCACAATTTGTGAGTTCTTTTTTTTTTTTTCTTTGCATATCTTCTTTTTCTTTTGTGAACTATAAAATATGTATTATGTGTCTATGTGTCTTTCCTATTTAGTCGACTTCATCCAAGATACATGTTCCTGGGTGTTCAATCTTCAAAACTTTATGATCTTCGATGTTGGCAGGTGCTTAATCTTTAATTTCCTTCTTAAATTCTACTTTCATTCTTCATCAAAAGAAACATGTAATTGTCTATTCATTGAGTTACACCTTGCACGAATGATTGAATTACATCTCATCATATGAAGTTGCCTCAAATAGCCATTGAAATTTCATTTGATTAAATGTTTTGTATCTTGTAATAAGAAAATGATAAGAAGGATACGAGTTTTGATGATTGTTAAAATGCATACAAGGTGTTTGATTGAATGTTGAGCAAAATTTTATTCACTCACAGACAAGAACAAATGGACATTCCATTCACTTTTTATGAATTTTTTACTATGTTTGAATTTTTGATGAAAATTATTTATTCCTAGCACTTTAAATTTTATTCCAGTATTTGAATATGCTAAAATGTGTTTACTGGTATAGCTTATATTTATCAAAGATGTAATATGCATATGTGGCTATTGGAACACACCTAAAAACGTTGATTTGTCAAAATAACAAGTTGTTGAATGGTTTAAGGATCAAATACAAAGTATCGACATCTTTAATTTGACAGATACCCTTTATTTTCCTCAAAGATCACGTAAATTATCATGTAGTGAAAGTAGTTTGTGGTTGCTTGGAGTAAAAAATCAACTGATTACAGGTAATAGTGAGCCAAAAAAATATGGTAACAAAGAATTATTTCAC